GCTGCCCCTTCCCCATCTTCCTCTGATAGTAATGAGCTGCAGCATGCCCTTGGACACTGAAGATTGATACTGCCACACATCTAATTGGTGGACTCAAAGAACACGACTTGATGACCATGCAATTAACCAATAAAAAGAAATACCATACTAAACTATGCAGAGTTTGCAAAAAAAAATAAAAAACAGATAAATTCTCAGAAACAAGGTTTTATTGTAAGAGATGTGAAGTTCTGTTATACCAAGGAGAATGCTACAAAAGATACCATGTTTATACTCATTTCTTATCAAATAAGGCATTCCTACATATGTACATGAATACTCATTACTGTGAAAAAGTGAAGGTATTATCAATTCAAATGATAAGGTTGGCTGCTTGAAATCATATATTTTGTCAAAAAATGGTTACCCAGGTGTAGTTAGTCTTTGAAAAAGAGGTTAGCTATGTTTTCTTGCGGACATTATGTGTTAGATCAATAAATCCTGGTCTATTTGGAAAAATTTTACGTGGTCAAACAAACAAGCTCATGTAGATGTAATTTTGTTTTAATAAAACAAAACATAAAGAAAACAATGAAGTAATGGTATTTATACTAGTGTACAGAGTATGCAACAGTTATGAGTGTTCAGTGTATGACATGGTTTTTAACAGGTGAAACAAAAAACTCACAAAAACAAAGAATAAAACTTGTACTAATGAAAAAAGTAGCTAAAAGGTGTTTATAGCAGGAAATTAACTGAAGTTAAGTTATTGCAAAGTAAAGTAAATGTAAAGTTTAATTCAGGCAATCGTAGGTGAATATGCAGAAACATCTAAATGCATGTTCACAAAGTGATAAGCATATGGTTTTGAATGAACTGCACATGGGTATTTCAGACCTACATAAGTTGAGAAAACCCACAGAAATTGCATCTAGAGTAATTTTAATTTTCTTTTAGGAAATTAAATTCAGGTCAAGTGTTGTTTGTGTATAAACTAAAGTTTAAATCAAAGGCAGTCGAGGCCAGTTGCCATGTGATGACAATGACATTGTTCCATCATGAACCATACTCATTACATCAAAAAGTTTGACAAAGCAAATAACAAGTAAGATGATTCTGAATGTAAAAGCCAATATGCAATCCGGACTCCTCTGACAAAGGCCTTTCTAATGATATGAGATTAGTAGCATTTGATTAAAAAATTTGCAAGAAAAGTTCTGGACAGATAATTGCAACAGTATTATTTATATAGATTTTATCTCGTTTTGTATTGTTTGTTTTGAAGTCAAAATTACTCACAACCCCAGACACCCTGGAAATGGTTAACACTGGGTTTCGAGCAGAAGGTACAAAAACTCACAAGACATGGTATAACGAATTTGTTATTATATAGTTATTTTAATATCGAAGTTTGTTTAGATTAAGTTTATATTTAGAAACATACATAGCTTATACTGTTAAATATGTATTGTGAAACTCCCGTCTATTCTCCAAAGTTGTAGAGGATTCTCGAGAGTAAGAATCAACAATATATGTATATACGTAAATGCTTAAGTGTAGTTCAGTACTGTTATGTAAAACTGAATTTTCTAGAAAACATTCTCACAACTATAAATATAACCAACGCACCGCGCCAAGGACAGTATCTATTATTAGTTCACTATAATCAGTGTGCTACAAAACTTCTGAAGCCATAACTGTGATTGTTATAATGCTTATCAATCAGAAAGTTGAAGATATTTGACCAGGAGCATTTACAAAGTTCAAACATTACAAATCATTTAATGTCAGTGGATTCTTATTGGACATTAGTTTTGGTGAAAAATGAAGGACAGAGACTCAGCACGTGTGGCCGGCAAATAATGAAGGACAAAGCTAGCTAGCTTCCCGTTAAGTGAATTATATCTACGTCAACTCGTAATCAACTCGCTCATTGTGAACTCTCAATAGGATATCAAGGAAGTTCCAAACTAGAAAGAAGATTTTATACTGTTTGTAAATTTGTGAAACTTTTGTTTATAAATAAATCGTTGTTTGTAATAACTATTCGTAATAACTGTTATTGTAAATTGTACTGTTGTGCGTATATTGAAACGTATTTGTGTTGAAAAAGAAAACTGTGTGTATCAATCTTGTATATATCGGCTTTTACTTAATTACTAAATCGGTGTGTATTAATCTTGTTGGCAAATATCGTAAACCGACTATATATTGGCTTTAATTTAAATACTAAATCCAAAGTACAAGTTAACTACTAAATTTAAAGTATCATTTAACTCAATTTCAGGCCATTTGAAATTTTAATACATAACAATGTATTCTACTGAGCCTGAAGAGTTACCACAAATGGCAAATAGAATCCTGAAACTGAAGGTTCAAAACAATATGATGAAGGTTAAATTGAAAAAACAATGATTTAGAGATGCCCCCACATCAGCCTGTAAACCAGGAGGCCAAAAACATAGCCAAATGGGAAATGTAATGAGATGTAATGTGGAAACCTCTTAATAAATAAGACATATCAATTGCACGAGCCAATTTGTTGATGTGGATGGAGTAAGAACAGTCATAAAGTATAAACAACTGATGTAAATTCCCATTTTAAAAAATCAATTTTTTCAATATAGGAAAAACAACCCTGACCAGGCATGGAAAATATTCTTAAGAAGGAGAATCAAGTTCAGTCAGAGTAAGTAACACAATAGTGACTATCTCTCATACCCCAAGTAAATAGTAGGAAGGCTCTATCATGATTTAAAAATAGAGCCCTCCTGGAAAAAAGAATAGAATACAAGAAGTGTCAATGGCCAAAATGTCTAATAGTCTATTACCAACAGAGGAAATGAGCATTGATTAACATTGCACATAGGACTCTGGAATGGAATGATGATTGGAAACAAAACAAGATGGTAAAGCCCTCATTAATTCCTGCTGGCAAGCTTCCTGTAAATGGGAAACAAGTTACAGTGAAATACCTTGTAACATAAAAACAATAATAACAGAAACAATATCTGTGAAACCCATAGGTAATGAAGATACCTAAGTAAATATGTATTTATATGTGTGATCCTGATTAAAATTAATCAGGAGGATGCAAATAGCTAATAGTGCAAAAAAGAATGTCTTAAATCAAGACCAACCAAAACATGCAAGGCAGAAAATTGCCAACAGTAGATGAATATAAAGTGCATAAAGATAGAGCTGGTCAGGGTTTTATATGTATGTGTGTGCTAAAGATTCTTCTACAGTAGATGTATGTGACTTGTTGGCAATAAATTCAATAATAAATAAACAGCACACACACTCAACTTCTTGTAAAATAATATATTCAAAACAACTTATATGTATGTACAAAAATGCTTTACACTATGGATATCACAGTTGTATCTTAAACACTAAATAGTTCTATTTTTCTTGTCAAAAGTCCACTTAGGCTGATTCAATTACTTTAGAACCCAAATGACAAGACAAACTATTTTTCTCTACTCTTATAACAATAGTATCGGTGAATAATTCACTTAGCTACCCCATGTGTTGCCACATTTGTATCCTGAACTTCAAATAATTGTCATATTTTCATCAAAGTCCACACAGGTGGGTTCAATTACTTTAGCACACCCTTTGACGAGACAAGATATCCTGCTTATCTCTATTAAACTGTGAAACTCACTTTAAAATATTACCTGTTAAAGCTGATCACTCACACATCAGCTAACTTCACATTTTTTGACTGAACTTTAATGAAGTTTGCTTCCTTAGTTCTCTCTTATTATTATTAATTTGCACTTGCACACCACTTATATAAATACTTTATTCACTAAGGCCTTGAAAAATAATAAAGAATTGAGTAATATGATGTCAACAATAAAGACTCGACAACAATGGATTGCAAACACAATGTATGACTCTTATCAAGTTACGTAACCAAACTTGTCATAACTATCGCCCCCAAAATTATTAACTTTTAGCTCTCTTGTTATGAAAAAACTAAACAATCATGAAATATTAACTCACAAAATAAATTAAATAATTATGCCTACACTAAACAGTCTTGTATATCCAACAGAGCTTATTTTTGAAAAAAATCACCTTCACCCTCAATATCACAAAAAGGCAGATGAAATGTAAGATTCAAGTACAGAATCATCTCATATGACATTGAAGGAGATAAGGCAAAATATATAGTAAAAATTGACCTTCGTCAAAAACAAAAGAAAATGATGAGTGTTGTACAAATTATGTATCCATGTGATCATGATGGTCTGCAGGAATATCTGTAAACAGTGGCATGAATACCTTGAAAAATCAAGACTGACAATGCACCTACAAGATTACATTGAACTTACAGATAAATTGTGTAAGTAACAACACCTTCTAATTTATAGAAAATATTGCAGCAAAGTTAACAATATGATTGTCAATAAGAATAACTAAATTATGGTGCAATAAGTCATGCAGAAAGTGGCAAAGTTAACAACATGACTGTCAATAAGAATAACTAAATTATGGTGCAATAAGTCATGCAGAAAGTGGCAAAGTTAACAACTATGGGGTAAGGATGAATTATCTGCAATGTAAAAAGGAAATTCAGAAATTTAAGGTCACATATTTTGTTTTTTGAAGGTATGAGTTCAAAATCAACAAGGAAAGGCTTTCAGGATTTTGAAGATAAGTCTACCTGATTTGAAAATATATGGTAGCTCATAATATTATTTATGCCCTATAAATAACTACAAGGTATTGATTAACTGTTACAGTTAATCCTCTGATTATTAGTTATATGTATAAAATATTATATAAAATACAAACTTACTGAAATTAAATGTACAAATAATCTCTTCCACTTTATAGTCTATGTCATGTTGACAGTTGAGACATGAATAAGGAAGAGATGGACAACTTGTAGAAGGTCCAGGTGGCAGGTAAGTTACAGGTGGTGGATAAGGTTCACAATGCTTTAATTTCTTTAAAATTGTTTCTTCATTTATTGAGTTATAATTTACAAGAGAGACTTGACTAATCAACTGCATGACGTCACATTTATAGCCAATTTTCCTTCTAGGATCCTTCACACCCAGTATGATATATAGACCTGAAAAAGTTTATTAATTAATTAATTATATTGTAAATATTAAAAAACATTGCTTTTGTTAACCTCATCATCTTAGATAGGTTTGTGGCAAATAACAGATTTACAATATTTAGTTTTTTTATGTTTAAGCATTACTCATTACAAAAGTGATGTGTACCAGTCTCTTCTGGTAGCTACACAATAGTTGAAAGCTTATATATATGTGCATAATTACAGCATACTTTAGCAAACTACCATACAGTAGAACTATACAGGGCAGAAACACTAAAATGAGATCACTGTTTGTGTTTATATGCATAGACACACATTGGGCTGTGCTTACCAAGCGTATCAAACCTCAATTTTTAGCATATATGTCTTGAAGCTTACTGATGACCAACTGGGACGTGTGGGCAGGGCAAAAGGGAATGGATATTTAAGGTAAAATTTCAAACTAAAAATAGTGTTGATGAAAAATTTGATATAAGCAGCAACAATATCATTACTATTTAACACAGTGAATGGAACTATAAAATTTAAACTAAACACATGATGGCTTATCTAAGTTGTAGGCTTACTTATTAAGCTAGGAGTTTTTATGATGATTGAGTTTGGTAATTAATTATTTTCATAATTAAGAAGAGATTAGCCTTAGGTGGCTATTGATTGGTGTTTCTATTGTGACTAATTAACTTTTAGTGATTAAATTTTTCTGCTCATATAATGTATTAGTCAAAATGTTGTTTCTATTTTCAGTGTTGACCATTAGGCTTTATATAAAAGGGAATGGTTTTGAACTTGTTGGTATGTGTAGTTTAAAATCATACTTGGTTTCTCATTGGCATTTATGTAGGAATTTGACCATGTTGCAGTGCTTTACATGATTGGTTGAACTTCCTAATTTATGTGGCATTAATAATCATTTACTTTTTTCTCCTTAGCTCAACTAGTAAGGACCTGCCCTTAATTACCTGATGCAAAAAATTCTTATTGCCTAGTTACAAAATTTGACTACTCTCAGGATTTTTGTAACCAGATTTTGGTGAGAACAGTTTTTATTTTTACTTTTAAAGCATAAACTATGAGACATGCTATATCATCATAATGATAATATTCCAGCTTTTCTTGTAACTTCTCTTGGTAATTGTTTTTAGAATCAATTTAGATATATTTTCACCTTAGTTCAAGAAGATAGGTAACTTCTACAGTCAGAACTACATGTTAGGATCTTGCTCTTATACTAGGACCATAAACAGTGATCTAAGCTAAGTCTTTTGGTGTTCTGTGACACATCCTATAAGTTTGTATAAGAAGATAACTAAAAAGCCTATTTTGATTTAGTTCATTATTCATTTTACTATCTTTTCCGAAAACTCTGAATTACTAACTACACAATGCAGTAAAATGTATAGAGGATTAAAAGTGTGATTCTTCCAATATAACTTTTTCAACAATAATATTTTCTTGGCACTCGTGCACAATGTAAAATAATATACAAATAACCCACAATGCTAAAATAGATACATAATTTATTTTTTTTTTTTAAATTCAGGCCAATCTGTGGCCTCTAAAATGCTGACTGTACATGTGACTCCGGATGATGATGTGGTAATGTCAAAATATGTATAATCAACATTTTATAGGCCATGGACTGGCCTGAATTAAAAAATATTTTTAATTGTGTTTCTATTTTAACATTGTGTGCTATTTATTTATTATAATTTTTTCGATTTTAAAGATGATGTTGTAATCCTCAATGAGTCATCATTACTGTGTTGTTATAATATTTCTTGAAGGAATACGTACCATAAAAAAACCATAGGATACAGAAAATATGAATGAAAACTTAACTAAGCTATTTTGTTCAGTAAATGCCTGAAAGAATAATGCATTTAGATATCATACCAAAGAAGTATTACCTCACATTACCATATAGAGGAAATTATGTTTATTGACTGAATTATCATCATACAGGTTTTATTACATAACATGTCTAACATGTTTTATTTCATACTGTGCAAATGTTTAAGTTGAATAAAATATGGATGTTAAATCTAGCCACAGAATTTTACAGTTTCTTTACAGTAAAAAATTATAAATTTCACTGTATAAATGAAAATTACACAAATTATCAGACTCATTTTTTCTAAAGTGAATGTTTATTGAGAAACATCTAAACAATAAACTAATTTGCAATGGATTTTAGAAGTACTGAAAGTATAAATATTATGAAAACATTGACTTATTGGGAGGTATGTACAAACATGAAAATCTTCACTAAAATGGGTCCTAAACAGTGATCCACTTCAATCATTTATATCAAGTTATTCTTTATTGATGGAAGACAAACAGAAAATATAAGAAATACCCATAATGATAAAGTACCTTATGTAAGGTTAAAAGATTAATTGATATGTTCTCAAAATATAATTTATTAAGCATTGCAAAAAATTAATATACCCATATAATATTATTTCTTTAATATAAAAACAAATATGTAATATGAAGGTGTTTTAAACACTAGTTCAAAAACAAGTTTTTCTCATAAAGTATAAGTGTACATATATGTTTAAACACTCATCACCCAAAACTTACCAGCTTTTAGTTGGTCACAACTACAGTTCTTTTTCACACTGTAGCTGATGTCAGATGCAAATTCATATTTGTTACCTTTGTAGAATTTGACAATAGCAAATTTCCCACAAGAATATACATATCCTAGAAAAAAACAATTTTATGATCAAGCTATGAAAAGATAAAACAGTTATACTAAAAAAGTAATCAATTAAGAAACAATACAGGTTAAATAAATAAAAGTTATTTATTGTAAAAGTAAAAAAATATTTCAAGGTAGTAATAAGCAACATCAGTTAATCTTTAGGTTTTATTGACACAAATACTTAGCCCACATTATTAAAGCAAACCATTTGAATTTGTATAATACTTAAAGTTATATTTTGTTATATATACATTTGTAAAATATGTGATGGTATGATTATATGAAATTTATTCTTATTGTTTCAGATGACTCAGAAAAAGGATAGATATTTATACAGATATCAAAATTACATGTGTTGATTTACCTGAATAGGGAAGTGTCTTGATGTCAATCTTGAGAACTAAAAAGATCAATATATCAAAAGATTTGAGAAGTTATAATTCATATTTATGTTTGGTTCAATTGGGAAGAAATACTTTTCTATAACTTAAAAAAAATGTTTTATTATAAAATAATCATATATGAAAATGAAACAATGAACAATTAATCATAAAATATATGAATATCTTAACTCTACCTTCATGAAAGTTATGTTTCAAAGTAAAAACAGACCATGTCTCAATGTTTAAATATCTGAAGTTGTCTTTCACTCATTGAATATATCTTTTTACAAGGCCTGGCATGGCCCAGTGTTCAGGATGTTCGATTCACAATCTGTGGGGGAAAAAGCACAGTGGAGAGTCTGGAGGAATAACAACACCGCAGACAGTGCAATGGGTGACCACAAAACCCTATTTTGAAAAGCATACCATATCGATTTATTCAATACAAGGCATGAAAGGGAAGGGCAGCTATCCCCTTCTGCTATACCCATGTAGTCTATGGATGAGTACGGTCCAGGACGAGGAGATTTTTAGAAGCAAATATATCACAAGAATAAATCTACAAATGATTTTGTGGGAATCCCTATCTACGCAGTGTGCATTACATGGAACCATAATTTAAAAATTGACATGGTCTTACAGTGCGGGATTGAGTGATTAACCCTATCACCCCAGGTATCCTTTACTGCACATGACACAAGGTTTTAGTGTCTTACATTCAAAATTTCATTAAACTACTTTTTGTTTATGTTATACCAATTGAAATACCATAAACTGGTAGCTAATAATCCATATTTTAATAATATACAAATTTTAAGTTCTTAATTCTTCAAGGCATAATTTAAAAAATCCTGAATTTCCACTAGTGTGACCCACATGACACATTTTCTATTAGCATGTCATCATCCCTATTTTATCAACCACCCCTCGAAAAAGTATGAATTTCAGCATAGAATACTCTCTATAAAATAGTTACCGCTCAAACAAACCATACTTCTTATAGCCTTCAATATTGTTTGGTTACACAGCTATCAAAAAAAAAAATCAGACCCCCTCCTGCCACACCCACCTGTTACATCCTCTCTTAAACAATTCATTGATAGTTCTCTCTTATGTTTTATTATATATTACCTATAATCAATAGAAAGTGAAGGTTTTCATCTATCAAATGATGTATTGTACAACATTGTGTTCTGAAAAGAATATCGTTAAGTTCACTCACAGTACAAGATTCATTCCCATGGAAAAGTTAACAACTAGCTTCGTTGAAATTGTACCAGCTCTTGTCACACAGTTAAAAAGCCATAAAAATTTTGAGAGTTAGGGGAATTTGTCTATTTTTGCATGTTATTAGTCTATATTCTTTGGTGCCTTATTTAATTAAATAAAAATTATTAAGTGCATAACTATAATTACTATAAAAAATCAGGCTTAACTATCCTCGACAATGGAGGGCAAGAAAAAAAAAGATTTGGTAAGTACTTTATTTTTTTGTTTTTCATATTTCATATTTATAATTATAAAAGTAACTAAAATCTAAAATTACAGATCTTTTTAAGTTATTTAAGATGAGATTAAGTAAAATAAGTAATAGTAATAATACAATTAAAATGGTTCCCGAGGCATGCATATGAGCAGCTCGTGGGTAATGTAATTTGTTAGCATAACATGAGCTGCACGTTCCCCCGAGTGATTTATAATGGCACAGATAGTAGTCAGACATGGTTCAAAGGGCAATAAAACAATAAAATTTAATTATAAATAGATGTATAATGTTACGTACCTAGAGCTACTTAGGATAAATGAATGCAATTTTATGTTACAATTTGAAGTCATTCTAGAAAGAAAAAAAAATGGGTAATTTAGGTTTATTTCGATTGTTTTTTTGGTTGTTATGAGGTTGATCAAATTGACTAATCCCATTTTGAGATAGGGTAGAGAAAATAACAGATAAACTATAAAGTATTACTGAAAAAAACGTTTGAAATGCATTTTAGGGATTACACAAAGGAAATTTGAGATTTTTGAGATGAGGAAAAGTGTTTTTAATTTTGACTTGAAAATTACTTTGCACAAAGACTATTCAAAACAAGTACTCAATATGTTCATGGATAAATCTTTATTTTATTAAAAATACTTCACTAAAAAATGTGATTTTTTATATATGAAAGACTTGTAATGTTAACTGAAAGACTGCAAAATTTTGTGAAGATATATATACACTATATTGAGAATTAGAAGTATTAAATCTATTTAGACTCTAATGGAGTACAAAGAGGTCACATGGTCAGTCAAATTGACCGAGCCCGTGTTGGGAGAGTAAAATAATTCCTGGTCAGGCACCACTCACCACAGAGCATGATGCAGATAATGAGTAGCAACAAAAAAAGAGAAAAAAGGCCCCTGAATAGGAAAAAAAAGAGTAATAAAAGATAACTTACCCAGTCAAAGTTGCACTGAAGTTTGAAGAATGGCTACAGGCAGAAGACGATAACCCGAAGATGAAGATACCACAATTCAATGCAAGTAGTGAGAGACAAATGTCTGATTGAAGAATTTCCTTTAAGGGACAAATGAAGATGGGATACCAAGAAAAACGTAAAGTGTCATATTTGTTGAGAAGACACCCAGAACAAAGTATGGGAGGAAGACAATAAAGAAGAATAATCCAATTAAAACACATACACAATTGCGAGGATGGAAGAAGAAAGATCATGAACAGAGGATGTCTGCCAAGGAATAAAGAGGCGGGGAAGTGCACCACAGAAGGAAGCCATGCAGGCAATATAACAACAAAGAGCATATGCAGCACAAAGAAGTATATTCAGATCAGATTGACGATAAAGGTGGGAGATAGAAGAAAGGGAAATCAGTGAAAAGGAGGAGTTAATCTCTCGAGCCGCTGACATTTTAGGGAGGAAAGAAAGATCTGGATAAAGAAGAAGATACTTGGAATGATAAATAATATGTAAAACATGATGCCAAATAAGTCTGACCTCCAATGTCCACAGGCTAAGAGGACAAGGAAATAAGTCTTAAGGGAAAGGTGGAGCAAAGAGAATGTGGAGAGAGGTTTGAATGGAGGCAAAGTGACACAGTGAAGGACCACATTAACATCCCAGTCCAGAAGGACAGCTTGCCAAGGTGGATGATGAATATGGAATGAATGCATCAAAAGAGAAAGAGCAGGAGAGGTAAACATTCTATTGTATCAAGAAAACAAAATATAAGGGACAAAGCCACCTAATAACCTGAGATCAAGGACACAAGAAGACCCTAGATCAAAAAGCAAAGTTAGGAAATCTGCAATATGAGGAACAGAGGGTCGATCAGTTGAAAACCCTTGACCCAAAAATCAATGGCAAAAAAACATTCCATTTATGTCGATAAACCTCCCTGGTAGAAGACTGAATGGAACTAGCTAGAAAAGAAGCTACCTCTGGAATAAGCCAGATCTCCTCACCAGGGACTGGACAAAAACCAGGCATGAAGACAGAGGACAGGAAGGGTTGGATAAAATACTGGTGACAGGAAGGGTTGGATAAAATACCGGTGACAGAAGTTGACAAAGAAAGTACAGAGGAAGAAGAAGAGGTAACGAAGTTTGGAGCTAAAGTAGCTGCAGGAACCATGGTTGAGCCAGCCAGTAAGGAGCAATCAGAAGGACCTGACATGGAGTGGCATGGATGATTGAAATCATCCTGTGAAGAAGTCGAATGGGAGGATAGACATATAGGTATTTGTTGGTCCAATCCTGACTGAAAGCATTGACAGCCAGAACAAGAGGATGAGAGACCAGAGACCATAACAGAGACAATTTGGAGTTGTGCTGTGTGGCAAATGCATCCAAATGAGGAGTATCTCACTGAAGACAAAGCCACTGGAAAATGAGAGGATCAAGAGACCATTCTATCTGATAAACTTTGTCTGGACAAAAAAGCCAATCTACAACAAGATTGAAAGCACCCAGGACATTGCATGCAATGATATGAATATTGAGCATGTGGGCCCAAAAAAGAAGGTCCAAAGTATCAAAACAAAGGGATCTAGAACAGGTTCCACCATGGTGATTGAGATAAACAACCACTGTATAATTGTTGGAATGGATCTTTAACAGATGATTTCTGGCCAGATGGGGAATATGAACCAATGCACAATGTACAGCAAGAAGCTCCAGGATGTTGATATGAAAAGACCTATTGGCCATAAACCAATGTCCCAAAGCCTCCTGTAGATTGACCCATGTCCCCAAGCTCTGAAGGTACACGTCTGTGAAAATGTGTAATTACAGACATTGGAGGAGGAAGCAGGACACCCGCTGACGAAAGAAATTACTGTTAGAGATAAATCACTTTAAAAAACTTTTTACTTTTTATATCCTCAGCATTGTTTCAAACAAGTGCTCTTTTCAAGCTTGTTTCTGGCTTAAAAAGGAGCACTTGCCCAAAATGTCTCCTAGAAAATAAAATGAAAGTTATTTTTAAGGTGATTTATCTCCAACAGTGTAATTACATACTACAGAAGCACATAAGTAGTTGCTGCTTGCCTTCCTGGAATCAGTGGTTCACTATTAGGGATAATAACAAACTATTTGAACTGCATACATATTGTGATGAAACTCCATTACTGAGGGAGAAAAGCCTGTGCTTCAGATAGTGCTGAGCTCCTCTACAGAGTTAATCATAATTTATTTAATCAATTTTCTGTATGGTCTATAACATGTTGGAGGGATTTTGTGTTTATTTTTAGCTTTATTAATAGCTATTGTTTACCATATGATTAGATATAGATTTAATTACTACCAACTGCTCAATTATGATATAAATGCATCTGCCATGTGTTTATATACAGTGCTGAGTTACTAAATGTGTAGGTTTAATACAAATTATCTTGTTTTAGTTTCAAGTATAATGTCAGTATGCATTTTATTTTCCTAACCATAACATATAATGTGTTTATTTATAGGCTTAGCTCTGTGTTGATTATAGCCCTAGTGCTTAGTTTTAATTACATTAGAGTTACTGTGAGTTAATTATAAGTACAGAATTATCATAAAAATATATTAAGCTCAACTTAATTATAAAATATGGTGAAGCTTCATTCTGAGAAAAGGATTAATCTATTGGTAAGATCAGTCTTGGCGTTAACTACCTGAAGATTGATTGTGTGGATATGGAACCAATGGCCAAAACAACTTAAGATCTACAAATTGTACCAAACAGTACAACACAGAGAAAACATCACATTCTATTACTAGAGGGTAGAAACAACATGGAGATGCCTAGTTACCAGTTATAAATTATAAATAGAACTAATCAGCATAAATCCTTGAGGGATGGTGGCAAGATGACAGAGAGAGGGTATATTTCTAGCCAATAGATCATAAAAATATCCTCTTTCTGTCTCTATTGGCCAGTGTAGACCCACCCCATGAATTGCAGCCCATTCTAATAGGCTACTGGCCTGCTGTCACTCACTTGTCTGAAATTCTATATAGTACATGGTTAATGTACTGTATACAAATACTATGTACAAATAATGGTTCATTCAAAAATAGTGCCCAGATGGGTGCCCACAGAAGTAAGAGAGATTGGGTATGCAGTGGTGGACCTTAAATGTCCAGCAGAAAAAAAATTATTTTGATATAATAAAAAATATTTTTAGAAATAGAAAAGGCATGTTAGTACAAACCACTTTAAACTCTCTATTCATACTAATTTTCATTTCATAATATTTAAACCCATAGTATTGAGCATATTTGTAAAATACTGCATAATATTAAGTTTTCTTTAATATCAGTATCAAATCTGCTGCTAACTACGAATACATTTTTCAAAGGATTAAAAAAAACTGATATATTTATTGAAAAAATTGAAAATGCAAAATTGTGAAATTTACAATATATCTTGGCTCATGATACAGTGTATGCTCTATAAATAACTACAAACTATTTTTAAACAGCTCTACTTAATCCTTCGATCCTTAGCTACATATATAAAGTATTATATAAAATACACCCACAAAACATTTTATGATCTCTGAACTTACTGAAATCAAATGCACAAATGGTTCCCTTCAGTTTATAGCCTATGTCATAATGGCAGTTGAGACACGAATAAGGAATTGAAGGGCAATCTGTGGATGGAACCGATGGTACGCAAGGTTCACCATATTTTAGTTTATTTTCAATTGCTTCTTCATTTCTTGAGTTATAATTAACAAGATGGACTAAGTCCGTCAACTTCACAGCACCATATTTGTAGCTAACTTTACTCCAATGGTCACTCACACTCAGTAAGATAAAAAGGCCTGAAAGAAATGTATTATTAAATGATAATTTAAATAAATCTGAGATTGTAAAGTAAATGTATTACATCACATTACTTAGAAAAACACTATGTCATATTAATAATGAGCATTACTTTTCTAAACTTTATTAACCTATTCTGTCAATAGTAAACATTAGCTGTTCAATGACCAGTTTTTTTATTGTATAAAATGTTACCTGATAGGTGTAGCTTTACTTTATACAAAACTTTTAAAAACAAGCCTCTTTTGTTATTTACACAACAGCTGTTGTTTTATAAATATGTATTATCATAGCATAATGATAGACTTTAGTAAATTACCACATAATAGTAGTAAACTGTGTATAAACATCAAAATGAGATGAATATTTAAAGCAATATTTAATGTTAAAAAGAGAATGTTGATGAAAAATTTGGTAAGGCAATAATATAGTTATCACTTAATGCATCAGATAGAATTACTGTTTTTAAATAACACATGTGAGTGCTTAACTAAGTCATAGTCTTAATTATTAATTTAGAGTTTTACGTTAATTAAATTAGTTGACTGCCGTTTTCTTTATTATGAAATAATTAGACTTAGGTGGCTATTAAGTGTTGTCCCAATTATGAATAATTACTACTTATATATTTATTGAATTTTGTACTAATATAACAGTCAATATAGTTTAAGATAAGGAGAATTATGTTTTCTAGCTAATACTATTGTCATGTATTGGTGATTGTGTTTCTACTTTTATGATTGGCCATTAACCTCTATTTAGAACTGAATTTTTTTTAACTCATTCGTTTTTTTGTAACTGTAATACAATCTATCTTTGAATTGTTAACGTGTGGAATTAAAAGTCATCCATGATTTCTTGTAAGCATTTACATGGGAATGTTGTCCTGTTGCAGAGCTTTATGTAGAACCAACTAAATAATGAAGTAATAGTAGTAATTCAGGTCTTGCTCCTTAGTTTGCCATAGCAGGTTACTAGCTGATATTGAAGTTTTAAAATATGTCATTCTTTTATGTTAGGTATCATTTCATATTGAATTTATTACACAATATGTCATTTTGTTTCAGTAGAATCAGTTAAAGGATTTATATCTTATCTTAATAATGAATTTTGTAGTATATTTCATTTTGTATTCCAATATTGTTTTCTATGGTATTTAAAAGTAATCCACTGTCCATGCAAAATGTGATTGTTCATAAAAAAAGAGTAAAGTTAACATGGTCTATGACCACGTTGCAAGTTTGAAGATGATTGGTTTTACAGTTAAATTTAATTGCCAGGAGAAGTGTGATATACATTTTTTTCTACCTGTTTCAGTGAGACAGAAGTTTTTAAAATTTTTTGTTTATTTAGTTTCTGTGCTGTAATGGCAGCCACACATGGTCTAGAAGTAATTAAGACTACCTTGTTCTAGTTGCTTTGTTCTCTATAGTTGGTAATGTCTATTCTGCCCAAGAGAATATTGCAGTAGTACATAGCACTTAGGTTAAAAGGCTGGCAGAGTATGACACCAACTAAAAGTAACAGATGACAACAAAGGTCACAAGGTGGTACTATTGAGTAAGAAAATAAATTTACTTGTTGAATTCTAACATGTTTTTATTATTCAGTTATACAGGAGATTACAAAGCGATGAGTTAATATATTAAGATTATCATGCTTAGTTTGAAGTTTATCCCGAGAGAAAGAATACAGAGTTTGTATATTGACTGTCTTTTCAAATGCTCAAGTACATATGCTGCATCTTCTTTCTTTTTTGTTTGTTCAATGATAAAGATTGTTTTCATTTTTTGTAATTTTGTCCAGTTTCATTATTTTAAACAAACTAGGAATATACAATTAAGTTACTTGATCAGAATCAATGTCCTTATTTCCTGAATGAATTTACAGTTATTTGTGGATCTATGTATCTCATACTTCTCATGAAATCAGTAGTTTTATCTCAAAATATTACAAGTAGGTAGGAAGCAAAGTTTCTAGTGTTCTACTATCATGATTTAATGCATTGTTTCTGAAATGATAATTTGCACTCTTTGAGTTTAAAGGAACCCTTTTACTTAAAGAATAGCCTTATTCTAGACTCAAGAACAAAAGGGACATTTATGTTCAAAGAAAGATGATGGTATGGGAGAATTCCTATCTTGGAAACAGGACTTTTACTGATGTTGCAAACATCCATGACATGAATCAGCTGGGAACTGCTGATTCAAGGAGAATAGCCCACATCTGATGCATCCAGACTACTCAAGCAGACAATATTCCTAAGAAGCAACCTCAGCAAAAAAGAAGTACAGATGACTAAAGTTTGTTGAAATGTGCTGGTATTTGGGAAAGGTCTCTAGTGAACTCACAGGCTGTCTTCAGTCGGAGCACAGCAGTGAGGCTCTGGTCAAGACCACAGGCAACTAGTGGACAGAAGCTGGATGTGCACTGATGGACAATTTCCACCAATCAGAGTTGTCTTCCTGTAAAGTGAGGTAACAGGCACCCATGGATGAAAACTGTAATCTATGGAGCAAGGCACCTTTCAGGATGAAAAGATTACATGCAACATAAGCAATATTTCATGACACCTGGGACTTGCAGGGTTGTACAACAAACCAACTCAACTAGCTCATTGGCTTGTAGACATTGGCTTGGGATCAACCTCCCAATACAGTGTCAGATCCCTTGTGAATGGTTTCCATCTACTGAGAACATCGGTGGCATTTTCTCATGGCGACTGTCAGGATTATGAGAGAGAAAAAGACAGGCTTTGGCCTGGTTCACAGGGCCCTGTAAATGAAACCATATAGATAATACCACTAATGTTTATGAAGACAGCAAGAAAGGATCTGAATCAGTTTCTGAAATAGTCTCATGAACAAGCTATATAATGCCTGGCCCTGAGCTTAGATGGTCTGGAGCTTGAAATTGTTCAACATTTGGAAGAGGAGTAGCAAGATGACTAGGAAACTGCTGTGTATGATCTGCATTGCTAATTTGAACAAATGGAGAATCAGGTGATCCATTGGGCTGAGTTAAAGGTTCAGAAAAGGACTGGCATCAAAGAACTGGCTGCCTATATAAACAAGCTTTGCTAATTGCATTCGAAGACATATCTGCCAATAGTCTTCACAGATCAGGAAAACATCTTGGTTGATAGGTTCATCAAGGAACTTTCTAAGGAGCATGTGCAACAGCATCTGTGAGTGAGGGACATCCTCACTCTCCTGGATATAATGCTCATTGCTACATGCATTGATGCCCTCCCTCTGCTGCAAAAAGATGCATGTCTGAAAACATGCAAAGGTTCTTGTTGCTTCAACACCTTGGATCTTCTTTCCAGATACTGGCACATGGAGCTGGGCAATAAAAGCAGGACTAAGCTTGCTTTAAAAACAAGAGATGGTCTGTGCAAATTCAACTTCGTGCCATTTGGCTTGTGTAATGCACTAGCTAGTTCTGAGTAGCTGATGGAGCTTACAGTCAAAGAATTGCAATGGAAAAAATTGCTGTTGTGTGTTGAAAATGTTTTAATGTTTGATTGTAGTTTTGAGCCCACATCTGAGAACCTGAACATGGTATTCCAGTGCATATGAAAGGTAAGTTTGTAATTTAAACTAGTGAAGTGTTTGTTCAAATAAAAGAAGGTAGAATTCCTCAGTCTAGTCTGAATGGACCAAGATAAGATAGCTGGGTGAGAGACTGGCCTTTACCTGTGACAAAGGAAGCAGTCAGCATTTTCCTTGGTTTTGCACTGTTTCAGGTTTTGTAAGGCCAGAATCTTTACAATAGGTGTCTGTGAATAGTTGGCAATAACTTTCAACTATGAATAAACAAGCAAACAGTCTACTTGTTTTAATATAACATATTAAAATAAGTCCAACGTATATATATATAAATGTTCATTATACTGTTGGTTATTACAGTTGTATCCAGAGCTTTAAATAATTGTCTCTCTTTTTGTCAAAGTCCACACAGACTGGTTTAGCTCTTGAGAACACAGTTTGACAAGACAAATTTTCTTCCTGCTCTGTTATTACAAGACAGTCTGTGATAATTTCACTTTAAAATCACTACTATAACTATTAATTATCACAGTTGTATCCAGAACTGTAAATAATTGTCTCTTTTTCATCAAAGTTCACACAGGCTGGTTTAATTCTGTCAGAATTAAAATATATATATATATATATATCACTTTCCTTTTTCCAACTGTCAAATAGAAAGGCTTTTAGTTATATTTCCTAATAGTATAAACATATACTATGTTGTTGTTGATTCTTCTCCAATGGGTGTCTGTGACTTGTTAGTGACAAATTCAATGATGAATAAACAGCACACACTTCACTTGTTTTGAAAATAATATACATATTCAGAACAAGTTACCATATGTACAATAAATTCTTCAACACTATAGATATTATGGATATATTATAAATACCATACATGTAGTTCTCTCTTTCTTGTCAAATATCCACTTAGGTCTATTCAATTACTTTAGAATTGCAGTTGACAAGTCAAACTATGTTCTCTATTTCTACTGCACTAGTATTCTCTGCGATTCACTTACAATCGTGGCGCAAGTTACCATAATCATTTGGTCTTCTTTCTTCTGAAGATCCTCTGTTCCTTTTGTCAAAGTGCAGTCAGGCTGATTCAATTACTTTAGAACCACACTTTGATGGAATAAAATTATTTTTCTTATCTTCTTTTCTACTGTTAGTTTCACTCTAACATATTAAACATTAGGCCTTTGTCAATCGTCAGGCCTATCACTTCTACGGTAGTTAACTTCACACTAACTTTATTCTCTTTTGTTATTATCTGGCTGCTTCTGTCTGTTGTTATCTGTCTGTCTGCTGCTTCCTGCTTGTATTACATTATTTATATCTTCATTACCTAATCATTACCTATTCTCGATGTCAATATATTGCACATGACGTTCAATATTCTCAAAATCAAGGAATTATTAACAAAATTCCTACAATCATCTGCTTTTAACTGTTATTATAATAAAGACTACACAATAATAAAACATTTACTAACAAAACTAAATTAATCAATAATATCTGATCGAAACAGTCTTTTATATCATGACAAATTCTATAGAACATAATTGACAAAACAAATTATTATTCTCTACTTTATTATTACAATACAATCTGTGAATATTCCACTTTAAAAATAGCTACTAGACACTCTTTATGGCTGAACTCACAATCTTGCAGTCTATCTAGATCTAACTATATCAATCAGCATTTCTAAGTACCCACAGTCAGATTTGATGGGTTTAATATTTGTAAGGTTATACTAAACCATACTGCAGACTTGCATCTATACATACTCCACAATAGTAAATTTTGGTTTAGACCAACCACACTATCTCATAGGATGTCTGCAACACTGCATCAGTATCTTTGGTAAATAAAGTAATGTTATTTTTATTTCATTTATCATACATTGGCTAAATACTAATAAATACACAATATATGGTGAAAACAATTTGTTACTTCCATGTAAGATCATTATGTTTAGTTTGATGAAAGTCTATGAAAAAAAAACTGTGGGACTAAGCACAGCCAAGTAGAAGTGATTGTTTTTTTTGTGTGTGTGCACAGGTACATATGCTGTGTTTTCTTTTTGTTTATTCAGTAATAAAGATTATTTTCATTTTTACCATTGTTAAGGAAATTTGGAATTGTGCTGTCAACAAAGCAGAAAATTCCACTGAAAATTATATGAATTAGAAAATTTTAAATTTTATTAAGCAAGTGATAAAAGTTTAGGTTTTGTTCATTATCAAACACAAAGCTACACAATGGGCTACCTATTCCATGCCCACCACAGGTACTGAAACCTGGTTTTTAGTGTTGTAAGCCTTCAGACTTACTACAGAGTCACTTGGAGGCAAAATTTTAGGTAACAATAATTTTGGAAATATACTCATACAGAATGATGACAATTTGTTTGGGAGTGTATAACAATGTGCTTAGCAATTAACTTTGATTTTAAAAGTTTTATAATTCATATTTACATTAGGTTCAACTGTATAGACGTTTTGATGTCCATCTTCAGAACATGGGAAATAAGTTATGTAGAAATGAGAGTTTAGGTTAAGTCCTGTTGTCTGCATGAAACACTGCCAAGAAATAATGTACTTTATAGTGGGTTTCTGAAGACAGTAAACCCAAGAAGGGAATTATGTGAGGTGGTATAAGCAACATAGTTATCTTAATTCATGTTGCCTCCATTTTCTAATGACAGATATTATTTCCAATGTTTCAGTATCATATACATATATATATTAGGCTGTCAAGAAATCCATGTTGCTCTTTTTAAAGATGAAAAACCCAAACAACTTGTATATCAAAACAAAACATTTATTAAATGAAATAGTCTTCATTCTTATCACTGATGCTTTTCCATCTTAAAATCAGGTTGTTAATGCCTTGATTAAAGAAATCACTTGCTTTTGAAGCAAAAAACATGTTGATATCCTCTTTAACACCTTCCACATTTGCATACGTTTTCCCATTAAGATGGTGTTGCAGCAAACGAAAAAGACTATAATCTGATGGTGCCATATCTGGAGAATATGGTGGGTGGAGGAGAACTTCCCACTCAACTTCATAATCTTGTGTTGCATCAAACGTGCCACATGTGGACATGCATTGTCATGGAGAAAAAGAACAGCTTTCTGATTGATGAGTGAAGGGCGTTTTTGATGAAGGGCTTGATTTAAACATTCCAGTTTCTGACTATAGATCTCTGCATTGACAGTTTGCTGTGGATTGAGGAGTTCAAAATAAATTACTCCTTTGATGTCCCACCAAATGCAAAGCATGACTTTCTTTCTGCTGATGAAGTCCAGGTTTTTGGGTCTGAAGTGGTTTTTGTCTAGGACTGAGCCATTGTTTTTGGCATTTAATATTTGCAAACAGAATCCATTTTTCATCACCAGTGACAATTCTGTCCAAAAATGGTTCACACACATTAAGAGATGAAGCAATGTTCAGAAGATGGAAACGATGATCATTGGAGAGTTTGTGAGGCACCCAAACACCTTCTTTAAGGTGTTTTCCTATATTTCTTAGATGTTTACATATTGTTTCATGAGAGACATGCAACTTCAGGGCCATTTCATGAGTGTGTTGCCTTGAGTTAGACTCAACAATCATCTTCAGAGCATCAATATCAATTACAACATGTCAGTCCCTACCATCACAGTTTTTAAGGCTAAAGTCCACTGAATGAAATTTGCTGAACTATCATTGACACTTAAGAACGTTGAAAACATTTCTATAAACTTATTTGATATTCTCTGTGGCTACAGAGGTGTTGTTTCCCTTCTTGTATTCAAACAGCATTACATGCAGAATGTGTGTCTCCTCATGTGCCATCACTATAAGGGATTAGAGTATACTAAACTTTACACATTATATAGGCTACACTAACGTGATGTTTAGGTGGCTCATTTAACTATTATACATGATGTACGTTTTTTGTGGGTGGTTAATGAAAGTGTTCCAAAATGTGACATTAATTTCTTGATGATTTAATATATTGATGTATTGAAACTGTTCCTCATTTTGAAGTCATGAATTATAACAGTTTATTGTCTGTGTTCTTCCAATTGATTGTTATTAATAGGTAAAGTCTCATGTTTTAGATTTATGGCAAAATCATCTTCTTATGTCTATACTCTCACATAAACTTAAACAGAAACAGTCATGTATATCCAAAACGTTTGTCTAGTCAGAAGGACTGCCACATATGAATTCAGCCATTATATTAAAATAAAATTCATATAGCATTACAAACAAGAATGTACTTATGCTATTTTTTGTCATATATAAGAGTAATTAAATACTGCTACAATAAAAAATTTTTATGATAAAGTATAAGTTGTAAATTTTATATGATTATACATTCATCCACCAAAACTTACCAACTTTCAGTTGATCACAGTAGCAGTTCTTTTTCACATTGTAATAAATCTCAGATTCAAAGTGATACTTGTTACCTTTGTAGAATTTGATAATTACAAACTTTCCACATGAGTATCCATATGCTACAAAAAACAGTTTTATAATCAGGACAATTTCAAACTAAAAAAGATTAAAAAAATAATTTAAAAAATCAATTGATTAAGAAACAAAACAGGTTAAATCAATAAAATTTCTTAATTGTAAAAGTAAAGAATATTTCAAAGTAGTAATAACTGACACCATTTAATCTTTAGATTTTACTGCCACAAATACTTAGCCCATATTATTAAAGCAAACCATATTTATATTTTATACATACATACATAGATATATATATAATGTGAATTTCTATGACATTAAAAGTTATACTTTGCATTTGTAAATATATATGCATTTGTAAAATATTGGTAAAACTACATGTCACCTACAAATATGTAAGCACATGGGAATTTCAGCAAGAAGTGGATGTAAGTTAAGTAATCCACCCAAGTCTTATAACTAATTACACAGTGAGAATAATATCCACCCCATACTTCTAGAAAACTTTAATATTCTCAACCTTGGAACCATAGATTACAAACTTTTTATTAAAGAAAGACTCTCTATTTTCAATTATCATACAACACTTAATAATAGTATCATTAATGCAATCAATTGTAGATTGTAAGTGTTTATACTTATATTTAAACCTTTTTCCATAATAGTTTCTCTTAACAATGTTATTTATTAAATGTGTATGCCACACATTTTATTGAACATTCCATTACATTGTTACTATGTAAATCTGTTTTTTTAAACTTCTGACTGAATACAGGAACTTGCTCAATCATAATGTTGGTTTTTGTAGTTCGAATATCATGAACTAACTTTTTTTTATGAGATATTAACGCTGATGATGGAATTTAAGTAAATTCTGTAACATTTGTATTAAAGATGTTTTTTTTATTCTTATTGTTTTATATGATTCGGAGAAGATATACATTTAAATGGATAAAAACTTATATATGATGGCTTACCTGAACTAGGAAGTGACTTGATGTCAATCTTGAGAACTAAGAAGATCAAGATATTAAAATATTTGGAAAGTTTTACAATTCTTATTCATATTAGGTTTAACTGCACAAAAACATATTTGTATAACTTTAAACAAACGTTTTATTGCAAAATAACCATTTATAACAATAAAATAATTATAATTTAACAGAAAAAATTCAAGCACATCTTAACATTACCTATATAAAATTTATGATACAAACAAAATAAAAACAAACAAATTTTAATGCTTGGTGTCTTTAACCTATTACATTTTTCAATTTTAGAATTAAAATGAATTTCAAGCAGGTTTTGTTTGTTTGTTATGTACAAAGTTAACCCATGGACTATCTGTGCTCTGCTCACTGTTGATATAAAAGCCTAATTTTTATTGTGAAGAGAAGAACTAAAAGCTACTGATGAGCCACTAGGGGACTTCAAACAGGTACTAATATTCAAAATACTTTAAGTCTTTTCTTGTTCATTTGTTGTAACACTTTATCAAATCATGTGACTTTTGGTTCTAAATGTCTTTCATGCAATGCATAACATGTATTATCCTATCAAAAGTTCTCTCTCCCATCTTACACATAACTTAGTGAGCAAGTACCAGGGAAACTGCATAAGCTCTGCTTCTCTGTCACATGCTAGATTTTTTTGTTTGCAGTTTCATATCATAACACGTTATACGAGTTGTGGTTCTGGGGATATGGGTGGGAATGTATTTCAGAGGTAAGTGCCTATTTGAAGTACATTTAATTCTATAAATATAAATTCTAATAAGGTAGACTTCTAAAATACTGTAGGCCAAAATATGTATATTAACTCTCACAGTCATGTTGAATGACTCCATGACCTCTTTGTACTCATTTAATCTATATATATATAAAAGAGGAAGTTTGTTTATTTGTTCGCTATAGGAAACTAAACGGTTGAACTTACAAATTTTAAAATAACTGCTTGGTAACCAGTTTTTTACAAGAAATTTAATGGTCTATTTATTTTGTATTTGGTGTAATATTTAATGACAAAATTAACAATTAATGATTATTGTGCCATTTTTTTGTAATAAACATACAAACAAGCACGTTTTGCACAAAAAAGCGTTATGACGGGAGACACTCACATCACTTTGCTGTCAATTCAGTATCTCCAAAAACAGTTTTCTTTAAATAGTGCTAAGTGGTTTCATAAGTGATTTAGTAACTTTGTGAATTGCAAATTATTGTTTAGTGATATAGGTGATTATGCCACCCAAGAAACGCCCTTTCTATGGAAAGTCTTCTGCAGCTAAAAGAATACAAGCACAAAGAGCAGCTGAAACAGAAGAAAAACGCAATCCAAGACTTCAAGCACAAGCT